TGGGTAAACAGCTTCTGGATGGTTTCTCCCAGGTCATCTATCTGACTCCCTACAAGTAGCATGTAAATGTTCTGCGTTTTTGAAACAACCGGGCAGTGATTCCGGTATTGTAAGAATGCTCTGCACTTCATATGCTCTCATTATTTCAGCATTCAGTGTGCTCACCCTGTAATAAAACTCAACATTGTGTCTAGCAATTTCATGGCAGAAGCAGGATTCAAGCCAAGAACTTCTGGCCCCTTGTGGATTCTGTTTCATGGGGTGGAAATGCCCTCCCCCCTTTCCTCCCGGTCTGGAAACCATCTTACCAGGCCATTCTGGACATAGCATAGTGAATTTGGGCTGGCTGAGATCCCTGGAAGGAGGAGGGAGCAAGCACAGTGTGGGCCCCCATGTTCTCAAAGATCAGCCAGTCCCCAACCTGGAGCTCAGGGAGTTCCAAGCCATCTGCAATTCGGTCCAACCCATCACCAGTTGGTCCCCGGAAGCTGCTGCTGTGCAAAGGGAGATCTGGTGGGGGCTTCTGCAAAGACAAGAAAAGAGCTATAACAAGCCGGATCTTCTGTGATTCTCCACAGCTGCAGTTCAAGCTGGCCTTCAAGCTGACCTTCTCAAGACTGCAGTGATCTACTCTGACGTTTTACAAATTCTCAGAATCCTGAATGCATATGTTTTCAGAATTTATATATTCTTAAATATGCAGAATGTCTACGGCAACCGATTTTCAGTAATGTTAGCTACTATCCCTTTGTCTGTTTACATTGCACTACCAGAAGACCCAGTGCCAGATCAAGGCAGACCCTTCTAACTCAAGAGCCTCCAACAGCAACTTGAAGAAAGACCCTTCTAACTCAAGAGCTTCCACAACAGCAACTCGAAGAAAGAGGGATGGCCCAAAGTCGTGCAGTTTCCATGGTTGTGGGTGGACCTGAACCAAGGTCTCTTTGATCTAGCCCCATGTCTTCCCCACCACACCACATTGGCCTTCCTTGCATGATCTGCACGCGACCCAAAACACAAGTCACTGACCCACTGGCACATCAAGCCCTCTCTTCCGATTTCCCCTGGTGCCAGAAGAGAGGAAAACAAAGCCTGCAGGGAGTGGTCACTCAAAGCCCAGAAGGAAGCCCCTTGCTGCAGGGGGAGCCAAAACCTCTGGGCAGCTATAGGAGAGCAGAAAGGTTGCTCAGGAAACAGGAAGGGGCACTTTTCCTGAAGCACCAGCAGGTGTTTTCCCACCAAGCCTTTGAGAGAGCAGAGGGAGGGACCCAGACTTTGTGTACTTCTCCTGTGCCTCGGGGCTGGGGCTGGGGCTGCCCACTGCTGAGGACAGAAGAGATTTCTGTGTGATAGAATGCTTCGATGAAGGCCCCACTTGGGGAGA